AAAGAAAGAAAGAAAGAAAAGATAAAACCCTACAACTTCTTTTCTTCCTGATGCTCACTTTAATTGGTGTCAAATACACAAATAAGTTAAACAGTTTCAAGATTAAGAACCAATTACGGATGGAGATAGTAATTTGACATCCTTTTTTTCCATAAAGTAAGATGAATCAAAGCACCTATACAAAGTTATACAGCTTTTTTAGAGTAAACATAAATTAAAGCAGTAAAATAGGCTCTAATTGATCATTTCACTAACCAAATGCCATCAAAATTGGTATTAATACTAAGTTTTTATAAGGATAATATTGCCTCAGCTATAAAAACAGAGAGAATAGAAATTAAGTGGCAATAAACCAGTTGATTGAAAAAACGAAGGCTTTCACTTCAATAATCAAGCTTTCCTCTAGCAGAGAAGTGGAATCTTTACCCAGAACATCTTTTAAGATATAATGGTAAGGCCAGGCACTGTGGCTCACACCTGTCATCCTAGAGCACTGGGAGGCCCAGGTGGGAAGATAGATAGCCAATAGCTCAGGAGTTGGAAACCATCCTGAGCTAAAGTGAAACCCTTCTCTTCTAAAAATAGAAAAAATTAGTGAGACACTGTGTGGTATGCCTATAGTCCCAGATGAAGCCGAAGCAAGAGGATCACTTGAGCCTCAAGAGTCTGAGGTTGCGGTGAGCTGTGATGAGGTCACCGCACTCTACCCAATATTGCCAGAGTGAGACTGCATCTCACAAAATAAATAAATAAGTTAATAAAATAAAATACAGTGATAAAGGCAGTTTATGATGGGAATAAAAGTAGTTCCTGCCTAGAATGTTCTTCCATGGGTCGAAGTCCAAGTTTTTGGCATGAATTTCGGTTTTTCTCTGCTCTGACTCAAAGGTTAATGACCTTTTATGGTTTTATAAGTTTTTGAATACATATTGTTTGTGGTATAACTCAAGTAAGCGTTTGGATGCCCATTTGATTTCATTTTGCTGTTTCCTGGCACTAAATCCATCGCTCACTCCCAGACCATCACTGCATTTTATTCGCATTTCAAAGGCATGTATAGAATCCAGACGGAATCTGCTGCTGGGGACTTGCCTTCCATGGAAGGCTTGGGAGGGAAAGTGCTCCAAAGAGATTGGGTGTGGTGGGACATTGTTCTTGGGAGCGAAATATTATGGCAAGAGAAAGTAGTCCAGAGAAAATTCACACTTTGTTTTTCTGCAGGAAAACATTTTGCAAAAAGTGGTCATGACAGCCTTCGCAGACCGCACCGTTGTTACGATAGCTGTAAGTACAGGGAGACGGAGTTGATTTACGCTTCTCTGTTTTTTGTTCTAAAATGCTATAATCTTTAAGGTTCAGCAATTCAAATACAGTGATGTGAAATTAGGTATTCCCCTGCTCATGTTTCTGTGTCTGTGCAAAAAAGAAAAAAAACAGCTGCATTTTGAAAACATTGTTCTTTTCCACACTGTCTGTGCCACCTAACTCCTCTAAGCTACAATCAAACGTCCTCACTCTAAAGGTTACAGCAGGTCATGGCCTCTGCTGGTTCAGCAGATACAGTGGTAGTTTATGTGGATTAATTCTCTTTTCAAGAATGATCTGATGAGCAGTGGAAGAAGCAAAATTCCTAAATTTGGTTTCCAATTCTGCTACTATTTCTACTTAATTTCTACATTTCTATTCACCTATCTGGTTTTTTTTTTTTTTTTTTTTTTTTGAAAGCCATGAGATGTCTCACAGCAGGGGCAGGGAATGTTTCTATTTTTAGATAGCACCAATCAAACAGCAGAATTGCAGGAATCTCTATAATCCGTGTTACAGCTTCCTGCAAACAGGCACAGTTTTCTGTCTTTCCCTCTTGGCAAACAGATGAGTTCTTGCTCCCACTCAGGCTGCCTGCTTAGCAGAAACTTTTTACTGAGCCACCTGGACATTATTTCCTCCTGCTGATTCTCTTCTCTTCTTTCCCTTTCTTCCCTCCAGCACCGCGTGTCTTCTATTATGGATACAGGCCTGGTTTTAGTCTTTTCTGAGGGTATTTTAGTGGAATGTGATACTGTTCCAAACTTGCTCGCCCACAAGAACGGCCTCTTTTCCACTTTGGTGATGACCAACAAGTAGACCATCGGGACTACTCTGCCCAGCACCCCGTTCTCTGGTAGTTATCGGTGCAGTGTCCCCTCACTCCGGCTAGGCGAGCTAAAGCTGTGATGAAAGGGGAGGGCTGGGTGAAGGAACAGGCGGCAGGGAGTTATTGACCAAATGAGCTCCACCAAGCGCTTCTGTGGGGCTCAATACCACACGAGGCACATGCCTGCATTTTCAAATGCATACGTTTGAGAGTATTTAGGAAAACCAAGAACAGGGTTTATCTCCATCCTCAGGAGCAATTTCACTGTTCCTGCTCTGAAGAATGCACTGTTCAATTTAAATAATTGCTTACGTTAAGCTGCTGAGCACTGGATGTTGTATATGGCGTGCTTGCTATGCTTTCATTTTATTGTGGACGACACACGAGAGACAGAAAACCCTTTAAAGTGCAGTTCTTTCAAGATGGCAGGAAATAACTCCCGATCAGGGCCCACTCTCTGCCAACCACGCCTATGGAAAGAAAAGCCTACTTTCTCTCATTTTCCCAGTGAACTCTGTGGTTCTTCTACCCCCAGGAAAGTCACCTGGTGAGTTCATTCACACTAAAGCGTGAATGTGAATGACGTAAGGGGTGGGAGAATTAACTACCTTAAAAAACAATTCTCTAATATTTTCAAGAATATCCTTGCTGGAAAAGGTAAGGAGATATTTGGGGAGAGAATATTCCCGTTGCCCCTAAGTAGAGGGGAGAGAGGGAGAAAGGCTGCCCTTGCCTGCTCAAAAGGTTTCCTCTACTCTGCCTGATGCATGGCTTTGTTCAGTCTATATCTGAATATTCCTTGAGTGTAATGTGTATTTTTAACCACAGAACTGTGTTTCTTACCTGCTTTCTGTTCTCCTACATTCACTGAATACTCATCCATATCTTCTAGCCATTCTTCATCTCAGAATCACTCTTATGGACTACTATGGTGGCCACAGGACACCATGGTTAACTGGCACCAAAAATTGGGGAATATCTCAAAAAGATATCTTTTTCCAGCTTCTAAAATAACTTAACACACCAAAATAGACCATGCTGTTTATGATGTGGTCTTCGTGCCTGATTAGATTAATCTCTCTGGACCATTCTGGCTCTTTCCTCAACACCATGAGGAACCAAACCACACTTTGTCAGGAAAAAAAAAATAATCTGAATTAATAGAATAACATCAGGTATATTTATTTCTGTTGGCCAAGGTTGTTCAATGTTTTAGTTTTTTTCCTAATCAACATCATTTCAGAATATCAAGGCAATATTTTTAATATATATTGTGGATTTAGAGGCCACATTCTTTTTTTGTTATACATCTATGATACGGTTATTGAAGAACTATATTTTTCTAGAGGGAAAAGGCACAGCAGACATCAAACAGTTCATCAAGTTTATTTTTATCTAAATGAATGGTTGTAAAAATGGCTTCTGTCCATTCTCTAACATAAACATTATTCTCCAACATTGTGCGTATTCCTAAATATATATTATTTATTTCCCATCTTCGGTGAATGATAGGCTTGTCGTTGGGTGTGAAAACCCGTGGTGTATGTTTTGAGCTGGCTTCATCATCACACTCCATCTACGTGTTTCATTCCTCCTCTACTTGTGAGTCACACTGTCACTGCTTGCTCTTCTGATAGCGTGAACCTGAGACTGTCCTGTTTACATAGAACAGGGGAGAACACAGATCTTTGCTTGTGGGGATGGCTTTAGGTTGGGTTTTTGAATAGTTAGGAGAAAGCACTTTGGAAGATAATGTATGAGCTAAATAAATGGTGTTTCTAGCTTTAGAACTTTGGACAGCAGTTCCCATCAGCACAGAAATATTGTGACCTACATGGTCCAGGCTCAGTATAACAGCCCCATCCACATGTGGCTGTTGACTACTTGAAATGTGGGTAGTCTGGATGAAGACATGCTAGAAGTGTGAAATGCATACTGGATTTTGAAGACTCAGTACCAATAGAGGAAAGCAAAATATCTCATTAATAATTATTATGTATGTCACATGTCAAAATAATATTTGAATAGATTAAGTTCAGTACATTAAAACTGCTTTTACCTATTTATTTCTACTTTTAAAATGTACCTCCTAAAAAAATAAAATAAAATAAAATAAAATGTACCTCCTAGGAGATTTAAAATTACATGTGGCTCCGATTATATTTCTGTTGGACAGCACTGATCTTACCAGTAGTAAAGGCCCGTCACACAGATTTTTACCTTCTAAATTATGAAGATAAAGAATAATAGCAGTTGATGTTTATTATTTGATTGTATGTGTCAGACAAGGTACTGAACCTTTGTACAAGGCTTGTCCTATTTGAACCTCACCACCCTTCTCTGAGGCAGGTACTGTTATTACCATAAGTTTACAGATGTGAACCTGGAAATACACTAAGGTAGGTATGTTGCTCAAGATTGTACAACTAACAGGTGGCAGAGCTAAAATATACAAACCCAGCTTAGCTTTTAACCATAACACTAAAAATGACAGGCAATCATTCCTTGAAGGTAGTGTTTTTCAACCTTTTTTAAATCTCCTTATGGCTAAACTTCCTGGACCCACTTAAATTATGTAGATTTAAAAAAGAGTGAAAAAAAGGAATACACTTACTGTGCTTTGAATTTCTTTCAAAAATAGTTTAATTCATGATCTTTAAATTTTTTTCTGGGCACACCTAAGAAAATCACTGCTCTAAGGGTCCAAATGCTTCCTCTAAAATAGTTAGATGACAGGATGGAAATAGCTCACATTTTGAAGTTAGTACACAGCTGGTTTTTATACTGGTTCCACCAGTTGTTATCAGTGTGATCTTGATCTCCTGATTTTGCTCTATGGTTCCACCAGTTGTTATCGGTGTGATCTTGATCTCCTGGTTTATCTCTATGAACCACAGTGGTCTCGCATATCAAGTCGAGAGAGGTGATAGCCACAGCTAAGGAACGGTCTGAGGTTCCCCAAGTATGCGTGTGAAGCACTTAATGTCTGGCATGTGTTCAGTAAGTGGTAGCTTTTACCATTACTAATTATTAACACCAGTGCTTCTCTCCAAAGGGTACCACGTGGAAAATGACAATGAATGAGTGGTGAAGAGCCTGGATATCTAAGGGCCTGGATAATCCATTCTAATACTGCATGCCAGAATAGACATCCCCATATTGCCTACCAGAATTAGGTCAATCACTTTCCGGGGTTCTCCATATCATAGACTAGCCCCCTGAATTAGTTGACTCTACACCAGACAGAACAGCTGTTGAGACTGAAGTATAACCCCCCTGGTTGGTTCATGATGGCCCCGCTTAGAATTCTACTTTTTGACAAACATTTATCAGCCTGTTTAAGTTTCCATGAAAACAATGACCCTGACATAGTAGGTTGACTCACGCCAATACAGCCCACACTAAAGCCAGCCATACCAGCCAGTATTGTCAAAGTAGATAAATACGCAGTAATTTAAATAAGGAGAAAAAGAATGGCTGTGCTTCCTATAACTCCTGGCACCCCAAGATAAATGCGTGTCCTTGGATAATTTGTAAAATACACGTATTCCATCATTTTGGCTTGTGTCTTGAAATCTGTAACAAATACATGCATTGTTTCTGCTCACAGCATCGCGTTCACACGATTCTGACGGCAGACCTGGTTATTGTGATGAAACGAGGAAATATTTTAGAATACGACACTCCAGAAAGCCTCTTGGCTCAGGAAGATGGAGTATTTGCTTCTTTCGTTCGTGCAGACATGTGAAGAGGTGTCTTAAAATGATACATGTATTTAAAGTAACATAGTCATAACCTGTTCAATGGATCATCAGATTGACCTTTGTGCCAAATCTTAAAATTTACAGATTTTTGCACAAGAGAAGTTGGCATTTCCCTTTCCTGCTTTTCTAAGTATATTTTTCAGTTTTCTAAGATATTACTGCTAACTGTATTCATAACTGGTGTTTTTATAATGATCGAGCCACTCTGCCTTTAAGAACAGCAGGTTGTATTAAAACCTGTAAGCTACTTTAACAAATCGATAGCTTATGTTTTCTCATAACTTTGGTAAATATCTCTCAGGCATAGAAGTCAGTATTATTATACTCTTATTTGTAAGAATATATTTTCCTGGTTGTTGGAGTCTCCAGATGTCACTGGAAGAGAATTAAAAAAGCGCACACTTCCTAATGAAACATTCATGGCTGTTATCTACTTTGTGATTAATATTTTTGTACTCATTAATATTAATAACACTGGTTTCCAGCGTTCTTTCTTTTCCAAGTCTAAATTGTTCCCTGTCATTAAGAAGTGATCGCATTTATCATAGTTCTATAAAGCCAAAACCTTAACTAGAAGGATCATAAAAAGAGCATGGATATTTGAAAAATTATTCACAAGTTGCCATATTTTCCTGTTCAGTAAGGAGAGGGTTCTTACAATATCAGGCATAATGTGTCTTCTTTAGGCTGAAGTTCAAGAGTGGTCAAGTTCAGTTTGTCAATCATCATTAGCTGTGATTGATTCTGAGTGCTAGTGCCACACAGTTCAAGATTTAGAGGAGCATAGGGAAATGGCCTTACTTGTCATAGGGTACAGACACAAATACACACACACACACACACACACACACACCCATTTCTTAGCCATATGCTAATAATGGCAGGTGAACATTCCTTGAAGGTGCCAGACAGTACCATGGCAGGGTGGAAATATCTTACACTTTGCAGATATAAGAATATATAACAAGTATCTATTTCTAGTTGGAACATTTAAGCCCAATAATGTCACACATGAGTCCATTTGCTGCTGCTCTTTTTTAAATGTACATGTAAAAATCATACCAAAAATGTTATTGTGATTTTAGTGTGCATGTAAAGAGTATATCAAAAATTGATGGATATTCATTTTATTTTTTGCTTAAATATAAATTAATAAACTTAAAAGTTACTTCCATTGTCATGCTAGCAACCATGGTTTCTACAATTCTGTGTCCACTCAGTATAAATTTTTTTTTTTTTTTGAGACAGAGTCTAAAGCTATCCCCCTGGGTAGAGTGCTATAGCATCACAGCTCACAGCAACCTCCAACTCCTGGGCTCAAGCAGGTCTCCTGCCTCAGCCTCCCAAGTAGCTGGGACCACAGGTGCCCACCACAACGCCCGGCTATTTTTTGGTTGCAGCCGTCATTGTTGTTTGGCAGGCCTGGGCTGGATTCGAACCCGCCATCTTAGGTGTATGTGGTTGGTGCCTTAGCCACTTGAGCCACAGGTGCCAAGCCTATAAATATTATTGATCTGATTTTCATATGAAGATCCATAAGCCTTGTAGTCCTTTGAAGATTTACAATTTGTGGCTAAAGAAAAATGATGCTGCCTTCCTATCATTCTTGTGTTCTATTCTTATACTGTGTATTCACTCTTGGAAAATGGTTAATATTTGTGTGTCCAGAATATGTGAACCCATCTTCAACCAAATATAGAATCCCACTATTTATAAAAAATAAGTTCCATGAAGATGAACAACATGGTCTATGTTAAATTAGATCTTGAAATTATTTTCTAAAACTTCAACCAGTCTCCTAAAATATTGCTTTGTAGAGCTAAATTTGTATGCTGCTTGTTACTAAGTTATACCTAATTCTCACAGAGAAATGAGTTTTTAACCCATGGAAATAATCTCTTCTGATATTTTAAAATTGAACAGCTATACAGCCAACAGCACTAGAAGCATATCTACTTACACTATACTGAGAATCACGTTTTCCTTGCTTACTCCCACGCGTTGTGGTGGGAACCTGTAGTCCTAGCTGCTCAGGAGGCTGAGGCAAGACAATTGCCTAAGCCCAAGAGCTGGAGGTTGCTGTGAGCTGTGATGTCACAGCACTCTACTGAGGGCGACAAAGTGAGACTCTGTCTCTAAAAAAAAAAAAGAAAAAAAACATATATGTTGGAGTATTTTTTATTATATAGATATATAGCTATAAAAGACCACTTTAACCAAATGAAATTTTACATTTGCAAGTTTGACATTGAATTAACCAAATCAATTTTAGACATTTTACTTCCTTAATATTTGTAAAGAGCAATAAAGGCATAAAACTTTATATTAAAATAACAGGGTTACTGATGTCATTGAGAGAGAAAACATATTTCCCTTAAAGGATTCTGCACTCTCTACCTTTATGCTATTGGTCATGATTCATTTAAAAGTCTACTTGGCTCTTTAATAGATTAGGTACCAGAAAACTTTTCCAAGGAACTGACACATGAGATCTGGGACCATCTCCTATTTGTCTATGTGCCCTATGCCTGCCTGGCCCACGATAGGCTTTAATAAACATAGTTGTCTGAGTCATTGATTAGTTCAACTACTTGCCATACATCTGTATCTATGGGTTTTTCTCTTCACTTTTCTATGTTGTATTTATGCCACTATTTATTCTCTACAATACATGAAATATGCTTATTCTCTGTAATAAATATGTTTATCTCTACAATATATAAAAATATACTGGCTTACTATTATGTAATAAATTACTGCTTTTCTTTGTTCAGTTAAAGAGAGTGATTGTTTTTTCACTGATAATTCCACTAAGTATCAACCAGGACTGATCAATAGATATAAATCAACACCAGTTTCAAGACAACACCTGGTTCCACCTTGATGATCTTGTTTCACATTTGCCAGATGTGTACTTTTATTACTTTGTATATAGATGCCAGAGACATTTCCATGAAGTAGAATGGCCATATTAACAAATTGTTTACATTTTTATTTAAATAGCTAGAAATCTGGAGTCTTTCCCTAGGTTTATTGATGAATTCTTATGGATTTTTCCTATATATATATGTATGTATATATACATACATACATACATACATACATATATATATGTGTATAATTTTTTTTTTGAGACAGGATCTCACTGCATTGCCCTGGCTAGAGTGCAGCAGTATCATCATAGCTTACAGCAACCTCAAACTCCTGGGCTCAAGCAATCTTCATGCCTCAGCTTCCCAAGTATCTAGACCTATAGGCATGTGCCACTCCTGGCTAATTTTTCTATTTTTTTTGTAGAGACCAGATCTTGTTATCTTTCTCACCCTGGCCTCAAACTCTTGGGCTTAAGCAGTCCTCCTGCCTTGGCCTCCCAAAGTGCTGAGATTATAGATGTGAGCCACTGTGTCCAATCCAATTCATCTCTTATTTATTTTAGTCCAATTCATCTCTTATTATTTATTTTGTAATGTAGTCTTTGGAGTTCTATGATTTGCACTACTATAATAATTCCCTTATTGACTCATTATTCAAAGTTAACTACAGTCTTTTTTCTGATCTTTAGCTGTTGGCATAAGAATCAATGGCCAAGTGGATGCATCCTGTAACTTAGCTTTAGTTTTTTCTTTAGTAACTACATATCATTTACGTGAGATTTTTCTCAAATATGAATAAGATTCACCTGGATAAAATTTTCCAATGAAAGCGCTTGCATTTGTATTTCTGGCCAGGGCCCCCAAATAAGATTTATAATTAACCAAGTTAGGGAATCACTGATCCACCTCAATCCTCGAGCCATTTTCTCTTTGTTACATGTGACATGGAGCCATAAAACACCAACGGTGATTTTCACATGCTTCTCTTTGCTGCTATTGCCTTACCTTGAATTGTTATCTCAGTGTTAACAAAATGAATTACCTTAGTTTAGGAAACATTGTTTAAAAAGCTGGATCTGAGCTGAGAAATTATCGACCAAGACTTGGAACACTATTTTGGTTTTGGCTTACTCAGCAACAAGCAGTATGAGGCTAAACCTTTTTCACAAACATGCAAAACATTTCAGAGGTTAATAAAATATGCCCATGTGACCAATTTGGGGACATTTCACTATTGATATTCCACCATATGAGAGGAAGGTAAATAATCTGTGATGATGATTCTTTTTTCCATTTTCATGTTTGTTTTTTGTCTGTGAGTGCCATCATCACAGACACAGGAAGGGTGATATATTCATTCTACATATCTAGGACACAGGATTTAAATTATTTCTCTTTCTATAGACAGTAGCAAATTGCCTTCTGTCAATCCCACTATCATCACCAGCACCCTGTTTCAAAAATGCCAAAGATCGGCTCTGCACCTTTGGCTCAAGTGGCTAAGGTACCAGCCACATACACCTAAGAAGGCAGGTTCGAATCCAGCCCAGGCCTGCCAAACAACAATGATGGCTGCAACCAAAAGAAATAGCCAGTTGTTGTGGTGGGTGCCTATGGTCCCAGCTACTTGGGAGGCTAAGGCAGGAGACTTGCTTGAGCCCAGACGTTGGAGGTTGCTGCGAGCTGTGATGCCACAGCACTACCCAGGGGGATAGCTTGAGGCTCTGTCTCAAAAAAAAAAAAGAAAAAAATGACAAAGATCAAAGGAGCCCTATCTGACTAAATAGTTCACTGGCTCTAAGGGGAACACACTCTGTGACTTTAGTGTTCCTACCCTCACAGGCCATCTCAAGTCACACACTTCATCTTAGTCACATAGAGCTTTGTTTTCAGATCATTATTTTTGTTACTTAATCTGCCCTCTGGGTAAAAGAAGTAGCTTGCTCACATATATCAAAAGTGTAACTTTGATGCTGCTTCATTTCCGTTTTTCTCTAAGAGAATAGCTGGGCTGTGTACTGTTTAGATGCATTGCCAATTACTAGTAAGTGAAAGACTACTGACCTTCAACTTCACCAGGCCAAGTGGATTTAGGCCAGCTCTTCCATATCTAGGTATTTGCTCTTTGACTTATAGTAGTTTTGGGCTTTGTTCCAACAGTAGTCAAGAGAAATTTAAACAATTCTTAATGTCTTCCAGCCATCCAAAATGCACATCAATTCTTTGAAGCTAAGCATAAAAAGAATCTCCCACTGTGTGAATCCATTAAAAGGTACTATTAACTCTATTTTATAGGTTTCAACCTCTCCTCTGACTCCTCAGCACACACATGTTTACATTCACAATGTCTGAACTTGTTGTCATCATATCTTAACTTGTTGCCTTAAATAATATTGCAGTTGCTTTGAATCGTTACATCACATATTAATAGGATGCAGAGATAACTCACATACAGGTGGTTGGAATGTACAGCATAAAGAAAGTTATTCTTATAATCGCAATAACCTTTAAGTGTTACGTGTATCTCCCAGACCTAAATTATCGTAGGAAGTAATTTCACTTCCAGCTAGATCATAACATGTGTTCCCACTGATATGAGGTTCAGCTGTTTTTTTTAAAAAAAACTACTTTTTAAGATAACACTGGTAACCCATTGCTGAGTCACAGGGAGCAGGCTTTTTTTAGTTCAATGAAGAGATGACAATGAAGGTAGTAAACTGGGCATGAATGAAAAGGTGATCGTCTCTCTTCTAGGGAATGCAGCCTGAAAATAAACTAATAAACATCTTGATTGACAAATGGTTGAATATCTGCTCCGTGTTTACCTTTGAGTAAGAAGGTACTCTTCAGGGAGATTTGTCAGTGTTATGCAAAGCTATACAGTATGTTCAAATTAGTATGAAATGTTAAGAAATGTGTCTCTTTGTGCTACTTCCTTTACAAATAAAGAAACGGAGGCTAACACTTCAATGATTGCCCCAAATCACTGATTTATAGGTTGCCTATGTGACTCCAGAGACTGGACTTCTAAAAAGTAGGGGACAGAAGTGGAGAGATGGAGTTGGAATTGAAAGCATGCATCTCTTACTGGAACCTAAGAGAGCCAGGAGTATCACGTCTCAGGGAAAGTGAGGACTGAGAAGTCCGGAGACCTAACTGGGGAGAGTTCGCCCCCCTCAAATGCTTCTCTCTGTTCCAGTTTTTTCATTTTCTTTTTGCCTCATTCCTATCTCGGCCTACATCTTTGTCATCCTGTGAACAATTCCTATCTCTGAGACTAAATCTTCCAGCTTCTCAGCTCACAACTATTTCCATTTCTCAGAATTGGAGAAATTTACTTTACATTTACTTTAAACTTTTTAGCAAGGTATCTATCTT